CATCAAGCAAACCTTTGATGTCTAGGTAGTTTGCTGCCTATAAAATAATATTATTTTCATTAAAATATACTAGATATGTTGATCTAAATCCGAAGTTCGTTATTGATAATCTGTATCTAATTCAGTTTAAAATGCTAATTTTAAGAAATCTGTAATCCTCTTGCCTCAGTCAACCAGTGTGCCGGGATCACAGGTGTGTGCTACCATACCCAGCTCACTAGATACTTCTTTTCTAATATTGGTACTAAATGCTATCAATTTTCCTGGAAATACTGCATTAGCTGCATTCCACAGATTTGAAGTGTTTTATTTCGGTTTAATTGAAAACACTTTAATTCTGAAGATTTTTCTTTGACCTATAAGTTACTTGGAAATGTGTTAGTTCTCAAATATTTGCAGACTTTTCTAGCTCTCTTTTGGTTATCAATTTTTGTTTCGTTGTTTTGACAGGGCTCCACTCTGTACGCCAGGCTGGGCTTGAAATTGCAATTGATCTGCCTCAGCATCCAAGTGTAGAGATTGCAGGTATGCATAACTTGAATAAGACTAGTTTTATGGCTCAGAACATGGTTTATCTTGACAAGAATACGTATTCTGATGTCCTTAGAGGTAATGTTCTATAGCTATCAACTAAAACAATTTGGTTAATAGTGTTATTAAAGTCTTCTGTATCTTTATTGATTTTCTGTCTACTTTTAATTATCAAGAAACAAGTATTGAAATTTCTAACTATGCTTGCAGATTTATGTATTTCTACTTTTAACTTTCTTATACCCCCTATTTTTTTTTGAAGTTCTGCTTCTGGGGAGATAAATGTTTATGATTATATCCTCTTTAAATAACCAATTCCCTTCTCATTATGAAATACCTCTCTTTAATCCTGTTAATATTCTTTGCTCCAAAATCTTTAATATAGTCACTTGGCCTTGTTTTTTTTTGACTAGAGTTACTTACCAGGTTCCATATTTTTCCATCCTTTAATTGTGCCTTTATACATAAAGTGGATTTCTTATGGACAGCACAGCTGAGGCTGGCTCTTTAAAAATATGATCTGACATCTCTGCCTTTTAACTGTTTTGGATCATTTGTTTGTTTGGTTTTTTTTCGGTACCGGGGATTGAACTTGGGTCCTTGCGCTTGCACAGCAGGCGGCGAAACCACTGAGCTAAATCCCCGGCCCTGTTTTGGATCATTTAATGTGGCTGCCACTATGTGGATTTCAATAAAAGTTCAGACAGAATTCAATTTCAATACCAATAAATTTTTCACATTAACTCTGTAAGAAGTGGCAAAGGAACAGAATTATACATCAAAAACATACCAGAATAAGTTCAAAAAGGGTTCCTTGGTCAACTTTCAGGAATTCTTGGTCCCAAACAGGGATATCATCTGTTCGCTTTTCTTTGTTCTCGTCATCCTCAGGAGGAGGAGGGTCATCCTTGTGGTGGGTGCACCACTGAATCACCTGTAACAAGACAGTTCAATTTCTACGTGGCGTTTGTTATACGGCACAGAGACAACATTAATCCTACACCAGGACAGGAACTGGCTGCAAAGTAAATTACAGCAGTGCCATGGTTAATGAACTTGATTCTTTCCACAATTCTGGGTGCAATCCAATTGCAAGCATATACATACTATGCTTGCAATTCAGTATAGCATTAAGCAATTTGCATACATACTATGCTTCCAATTTGGTTGTAACCAGAATCATGGAAAGAACTAAGTTCATGAACCAAGGTACCACTGTAAGCTTAATGAATCTTTATAATCCTAGAAGGTAGAAGAGCTTGTCAGATAAAAGCCAACCATGCAGTGTAATATATTTGACCATATTAAAATACTTCTGTGAAAAAGAAAAACATCGGAATGGAAGATACCTTCAATATATAAAACCAACAAATGATTAAGACTATAGAATATAAAATCTTAAAAATTACTACAGAGAGGGCCAGGGATTTAGCTCAGTGGCACTGTGCCTGCCTCACGAGCTCAAGGTTCTGAGTTTGATCCCCAATACCAAAAAAATTTACAACAGAGAAATGACTTAAAGGTATGTATAGGCAATTAACAAAAAACCCGAATAGACAAAAATGCTCAGGTTCACTAGATCAAAAACACATACAGTCAGATACTACTCTAGAGTCACAAATAAATCAATACTTTGATATTAACTAATTGCACTTGATCTTAGCCAAGCGATTGATATTAACTAATTGTTGGCACCAGTGTGAAGGAAACTCAAATTCTTCTAATGGAAAATATTACATTGGTATCTTTAAAAATGAACCTAAGAGGGCCGGGTATTTAGCTCAGTGGTTTCGCTGCCTACTGTGCAAGCGCAAGGACCCGAGTTCGATCCCCAGCACCAAAAAAGAAAAAAATCACTTAAAAGTGAACCTAGGGAGGCCAGGGATTTAGCTCAGTGGTTCCACCGCCTGCCTCGCAAGCACAAGGTCCCAAGTTCGATCCCTGGTACAAAAAAAAAAAAAAAAAAGAACCCAGGATTCCTAATAAATCTAAACCCACATATATACTTTACATTATAACCAAGTAATTCCAAATACCTCAGACATGTACTTAAGACTACCTGGTATAGGAACAAGGCAAGAAAAGCCCATCTGCTTTCTAAGTAAGGGAATGACTATATCTTGAAGTTTGAAGAAATTGACTAGATTATACACAGCAGCATAAAGACCAAAATCAATACTGAAAATGTGTTAAAACTGTACAATCTAGGTGGTAGGTACATGGCTGTTTGCTGTGCAATTCTTTCAACTTTTCTATATTTTTACTCAGGAAAAAAATGGCACAACTGAAAAAATATACTGCCAGGATGCCAAAAGAAGTATTTCAATTACTGCCAGGCATGGTGGACATACCTGTCATCTCAGCACTCTGAGCTGCTGAGGTAGGAGGATCACAAATTGGAGCCCAGCCTGGGCAATTTAGACAGTGAGATCTCAAAAATAAAACAATGGCTATATAGCTCAATGTGAAGGCCCCAGATTCAATCCAGACAGACAGACAGACATAGCTGGGATATAGCTCAGGTATAGTCCTTGCCTACAACATGTGCAAGCCCCTAAATTCAATCCCCAGTATGGCAAAAAAAACAAACCAAAACAAAAAACTAACCTACCCCCAAAAGACAATGCTCGGAATTCAGAAAGAATGAGATCTAACTAATGAAATAAGTTTCTATACCATAAATTATATAAGACATGGTAGAAACTTTAAAGATCTTATGGATGAACCTTGAAAAGATTAGGCTAAGTGAAATACGCCACTAAGGTACCCAGATTAGTCAAATTCAGAAACAACACAACACGGGTTACCAGAGGATGGAGGAGGTGGGGAAACAGGAAGTTATTTCAAAGGAACAGTGTTTCAGTTTGGGATGATGAAAAAGTTCTGGAGATGACGTGTGATGCTGGTCACACAACATTGACAATGTACTTCATATCACTAAATGGTACTTTAAGAGGTTCACCTGGATGTGGCGACACATACCTGCAATCCTAGCTACTTGGGAAGATGAGGGAAAGGATCACAGTCTGGGAAACCCAAGAAGACTGCCTCAAAAAACAAAAAAGTAGCCCAGCACTCCCAAAAAGCTGGGTGTGGTGGCCTACACCTGTAATCTGAGCACTCTGAAAGGCTGAGGCAGGAGAATTTTAAGCTTCAACCCAAGGGAGGCAACTTAGCTAGCGAGACCCTGTCTCACATATAATCCCAGATGCGATGACACACTCCTGTAATCCCAGCACTCGGGGGCTGTCAGGAGGATAAGGTAGGAGGATCTTCAGATCTTCAGTCCAGTCTCGGAAACTTAGTAACTTAGTGAGACCCTGCTTCAAATTTTTAAAAATTCTGGGGTTTTGTGGGGGTTTTTTTGGTTTTGTTTGTTGAGACAGGGTCTCACTATGTAGTTCAGACTGGCCTTTAACTCCTGTGTAGCCTAGGCTGGCCTGAACTCACAGCGATCTTCCTGTCTCAGCCTTGAGTGCTGTAAAAAATTTTTTAAAGGGCCAGAGATGTAGCTCACTGCAACGGCCCTGGGTTCAATCCCCAGTGCCACAAAAATCAGTAAATAAATTATAATTTGAAAAGGCTGTCCTCCTGCCTGCCTCACAAGCACAAGGTCCCAAGTTCGATCCCTGGAACCAAAAAAAAAAAAAAGGCTGTACTCAAAGGACTAACACCTAGAATATATAAAGAACTCAAAAAAAATCAGACCCCCTGCCCCAAATTTGGATTGATTGATTGATTGTAGTACCAGGGGATCAAACTCAGGACCTTGCACTTTTGAGGCAGGAACGGTGCCACTGAGCTAAATCCCCGGCCCAGACCACCCAACTTTAAAGAATTTGGCATCTGAAATGAATAGACACTTCTCAGATGAAAAAGAAGCAAATAAATACATGAAAAAATGCTCAACATCATTAGTCATTTGAGAAATGCACATTAAAACAACACTGAGACTCCATCTCATTCCAGAAAGAATGGCTGTTATCAAGAAATCAACCAATAACAAATGGTGGAGGGGCTGTGGGAGAAAAGGAACCATTCTCCACTGTGGAAATCAGTATGGAGATTCCTTGAAAAAGTAAAAGTAGAGGTTCCATTTAACCTAGCTACTCCCCTTCTACGTAGCTTCCCGAAACAGTTAAAAGCATCATACCACAGTGATATACGCATACCCGTGTTTACAGCAGCACAATTTGTAATAGCTCAATCTTGGAAATAGCCCATATGCCCACTGAAAGATGAATGGATATACAGTGGAGTGCTACTTTGCCTTTAAAGGATAAGCTTGAATCATTTGTAGGAAAATGGTGCACTTTGAGACCATAATCTTAAGTGAAATAAATCAGACACACAAATTAAAATATCCCATTGTTTCTACTGTGTGAGAAACTCAAAGGGTTAATAAGGAACATAATGGACGATACTACTAGGAAGTAAGGAGAACGGGGCAGGGAGAGGGGCAGTAGAAGAAGAGAATGGAAGGAGAAAAAAATATATATATATTTTGGTACCAGAGATCAAACTCAGGACCTTATGCTTGCAAGGCAAGCGTTGGGTGGAACCTCTGAGCTAAATCCCCAGCCCTGGAGAAAAATAGAAAGAAAGCTTTTGCAGTGGGGATGGGAAGAAGGGCTGAAGGGAGGGGAGAATGGGAAAAAAAGAACTAAGATATATTATGTGCGGCAATAAATTCCCCATGATGAATGTTTTTGTTTATTTGTTTTTGGTACCTGACTGAACTTGGGACCTTGCACTTACAAGGCAGGCAGAGGAATCACTGAGCTAAATCCCCGGCCCTCTCCATGATGAATGTGATGAATACGTATGACAAATATGTACTAATAAAAAATAAAGTTTAAAAAATAAAAATAAAAAGAGCTGGGGATGTAGCTCAATGCAAAGGCCTTCAGTTTACTCCCCAATATTGCCAAAAAAAAAAAAGTTAAAGTAAATCTTACATTATGTATATCTCATTTTTTTTAAAGTTTGTTAGAAATATTGGCAAATGAAAACAGACAATACAAAGTATAAATGGCCAATAACACATGTAAAAAATGTTCAGGCTTTGAGAATCACTTTTAGGGAGACTGGTAATAGGCAATACTGGTAAGAGTATGAAAAAACAAGGCAACTGCAACTCAGCAGGAGTAAAATTCACAAGACAAAGCGTGAACTGAAACTACACAGGTAGTACTGTACTACCTGTAGGGCGAGGCCCACTGGAGCGGAAAGTCCCCATCTCTAGATCTGACCCAATCTTCCTTTGGAACAAGCATCCAATGAAACAGCTTGCTGTGTTAAAAAGCTATGTGCCCTGAACCACTAAACTCCTATTCAATGTGGGAAAAACTGTTTACGCTTAGACACAAAGTATGGCAACTGCAACAAAAATGTCACTGAGGGTACTTTTTATTCTCAACCTCCCACTGGAGGTTCATCCAATGGAAAATAAAAATTTTTTTCTTTTTGCTAATCATTTACTGTTGTGTTTCAGTAATTTAAATGCTAATACAAAAGACAACAACTCAAATATTCAAAACACATAACATTCACAAATAAACTACAACAAATATTTCCAGTCATAATCTTGCTACATAAGGGTTAAAAAGAGAATGCTATGTATTAAACTGAAAGATCACTGTTTTGTTATGAGGAAAACAATCACAAGGTTATAGTTTGCTACATTATGAACAAAGAATAATATACTTATTAATATTTGCATTAAAAAATACTGAAAGAATAAATGAAGGAGGGTAATTAGAATGAACTGGTACAGAAAGGGAATGAAGCATTACATGTTTTTACTTCAGCCATTTCAAAAATATAAATCTAAGAAGGTAGTCATGATTTAATCATGATCTTCTAAGGAGTGGTATGTTAATTTAAAGCTATTTAGCCAGATCAATAAAAATATCATAGCAAAGGACTTGCCGATGGACCCACTATAGAGATCTTTTTATCAGTGGTACAGTATATGCTAGCATGCACAAAGCCCCGGGGTTCAATCTCCAGCACACACAGAAAAGACCTTTCTGATGTCCGATCAGTGATAATGATCAACTGTAACAAAACAGACAAGACTGTTTTCTGTGTATTACTGTATTAAGAACATTCAAGTAAGTGCCGAAGAACACTAAAATGTCAGGCCGGGGATTTAAGTTCAGTGGTTCCACCGTCTGCCTTGCAAGCACAAGGACCCACGTTCGATCCCCGGTAGCAAAAAAAAAAAAAGAACGCTAAAATGTTAAAGTTGCAATATAGACTGTCACTTGTATTTATTAGTGTTTGAGAACAGACTTAAGTGTCATCTGAAATACTGACATATATAGCCCAGTAAAATCTATACCATAATAAATTCAAATGTAGTTTGAGTCTACTTTCAGAAATTTTTGGTCTAAAATAGGCAGTCTATATTTTATTTCAGGATTAGAAGAATCACATGCTAGTTTCAGAAGTGCTCATTTACATAAAGGAACAATGGAAGCATTTAAAAGCATAAAAGCTAAATCTGTTAAGGCTAAGCATCCCAACTCTAAAAATAAATCCTTTAAACACCTTACCAGGGCCTGGGGTTGTAGCTCAATGATGGTGCATGTGTTTAGCATGCTCAAGGCCCTGGGTTCCATTCCCCACACCAAAAACAAATAAAAAGCCCTTACCTTTTTTAATATTGCTGCATTAACATTTGGTAGAGGAACTGGGTCATCATCTCCTTCATCATCCATTCCCAAATCTAAGAAAATCCAGAGCGACCATTACTTTGTTACTCCATTAGAATACACCAACTAGTCTATATTTAAGTTATTTGAAAGACATGTTGTCTGAAAGGCTAAGTTATCTTAAGAGCATTTAAAATCAGTGTTTCCCAACAATGAGTCCATGAACCATCAAAAACTATGTCAAGTTGTGTGAGTAGGTAAATTCAAGAATATTACATAAAGAAAGGTCTTATTAGAAGGAAAAGGGATTTAACAAATTGGGCTAAATAACTGGGCAGCCTCCTGGAAAAAAATGAAAGCTACACCCTATTCTTAAGTCTTTATATCAAATTCTCTAGATGAACTGCATTTAGAAAATGAAACTAAGAAAAAAATTATAATAAAGTATCAAGCTACTCAAATCAGAAGGCCAAAGATGTATACATTCACATACAACAGGTTTATGCAGACACTGACAAAACAAGGCCAATAATTCCACTCCTACTTTTATCCGTACATAAAACTTAAGCGTTTTCAAGTTAGATATAGAAAGATAAATGTCATTTGAATAAAAGTGAGAAAATGCTTATATATTTGTCTAAAATATCGCCAGAGGGCCAGGTATTTAGCTCAGTGGTTCTGGCGCCGAGTTCGATCTCTGGTACCAAAAAAATAAAAAATTGCCGCCTGCCTAGCAAGCTCAAGGACCCAAGTTCGATCCCCGGTACCAAATAAACAAATAAAAATAAATAAAATATCGCCAGAAGGATACTTAAGGAACTGTTGACGATCTATCCAGGAAAGTTAAAAAAGTGTGTTGAGAGACTTCTTTCCCACCTATACTTTTGCTTGTTATGACACACTTATGACCTCATAAGTTTCCCCTAATAAAAGCAAGTGAATTTTATTTGGGGGGGGGGGGCGGGGTACCGGGGATTGAACTCAGGTCCTTGTGCTTGCGCACCAGGCGATGAAACCACTGAGCTAAATCCCCGGCCCAAAAGCAAGTGAATTTTAAAGAAAAACTTCAAATTAAGATTCATGTTAAAGATTGTGAATAAAAATATTTTTCAAAACCAAATGGGTCTAGGGCTGGGGATTTAACTCAGTGGTTCCAGCACCTGCCTCGCAAGCACAAGGTCCCAAGTTTGATCCCTGGTACCAAAAAAAAACCCCAAAACACCAAATAGGTCTATTCTTAAGAACTGCTTACAGTTGCCTAATAAAGTTACTTTAACACTTAACAAATACCAGAATTAGAAGCCAAAAGTTATTACAGGGCTGTATTCGTTGTAGCAGAGTACTAGGGCCCATGGCCAACTGGGAGTCAAATATTTAGGTCCCTAATATATACCAGGCACTGACCTAGGCATTAGGGGACTCAGCAATTAACATAAGAGCATGGGGTAACTGTAGCAATTTTATAATTTCTTCCTAAAAGAGGCAAGAACACTTACACAGAGGAAATGGCAAATGCAAGGGCCTTCTCATAGAAGTGGCTGGCATGCAAAAGACACAATGCATGCCTGTTATCTCAGGTACTCAAGAGTCTGAGGCAGGAGGATCCCTTGAGGCCAGGAGATAAGGCCAACCAGGGCAACACGAAAGACATGGTCTAAAATAAATTAACCACCCAGGCCAGTCCAATTATTTGAATACAAGATGACCAAAAATCCTTTTTTGGTTAATTTTTATAACAGGAAATATAAAAATAACAATTTTATCAAATGTATTCAAGGAAAGATAGCCTATTTAATAAGTGGTGTTGGAAAAACTGGATTTCAACCTGTCAGAGATTAAAACTAGACCTATATCTATCACCATGCACTACACTAAGATCTAAGTGGATTGAAGATCTAAATATTAAGAAACACTAAACTTTCTGGAAGATAAGTTAGGTAGAACTCTTGAAGACACTGGCATAGGAAAGGACTTTATGAACAAAACCTCAGTAGCACGGGAAATAGCACAAAGAATCAACAACCGGGATTTCATCTTATTAAAAAGCTTCTGCACTGCAAGAGAAACCACCAACAGAGCTCAGAGACAACTTACAATGTGGGAAAAATTTTTAGCAGCTGTACCTCAGACAAAGGTCTACTATCGAGAATATATAACGAACTTAAAAAAAAATCAGACCCCGCCAAATTCAAAGACCCAATTCAAAAATGGGCATCTGAAATGAACAGACATTTCTCAGACAAAGAAGGCAGCAAATAAACATATGAAAAAATGTTCAACATCACTGGTCATTCGAGAGATGCAGATGAAAAGAACACTGAGATTCCACGTCAGCCCAGAAAGAATGGCTGCTATCAAGAAATAGCAGGCAGGGCTGTGGGGAGAAAGGAACCCTTCTCCATTGCTGGTGGGAGTGCAGACTGGTGCAACCACTGTGGAAATCAGTATGGAGATACCTCAAAGAACTAGGGCTGGAAGTCCCATTTGACCCAGCTATTCCCCTGCTGGGTATCTTCCCCATAGAATTAAAAGAACCATACCACAGAGATATATGTGCACCCATATTTACAGCGGCACAGTTTGTAATAGCTAAAGCTTGGAAGCAGCCCAATTGCCCATCAACTGGAGACTGGATAAAGAAAATGTG